AAGAGGGATATCACTGGACACATAACCAACAACAATATGATCTGTGAAAACAGAAAAAATAATACAATAATGCTTCTTTAAGTGTTCATTTTAAAACAATTAATTAACAAATAAAAAAAGAGAGAGGGAAGGGAAATTCAGTTCATGACGTGGGATATGCAAACATGAAACAAGATACAATACGATACTGCCCTAAGCCTCAAGATACTTAAAAATTTAGTACGCTAACGTATCAGGGACAAATAATATCACAGTTAGAAATGAAGAAAAATCATATTCAAAATTATGATTAGATTATGAAAAAAGATATATTGCTACTTTTGACCAACTGGTAGTCTTATTAATAGCAAGACTTCCTCCTACCATCCCATCAATTCTAATTATTTCTACATTCATTTATGCAAACTGAGAGTTTAATTTCAAAGAAATGGTTCTCTAGAGTGTAAATGAGATTATTTTGCAAACTTATATTCATAAAACAAGCTAACGTAAAAAAACAAAACATAACACCTTAACTGCATGATAACCATAGCAAGGCCTCCTTTTTTAATCTAGACTTCAACCCACATTATGATATCTTAACAATCAAAATAGGCATAAGCTAAGATATGAGAAATTCGAATGACCCCATTTCTACTAAAATACTTCAAAAGATTTTTTAACACAACCCATGCATCCAGCATTACAAGAAACCAAAACAGATTACTCATACAATTAATGTAATATACTTCCAATGGACACACAAGCAAAGAATGGAAGGTCTGGGAAATTTAAGGAAATAAAATATCTTTATGGCAAAAGTTTTATATTTCTTTCAACAACATCATATAAAAAATATGCCTCATTGCTTCAGAAAGTTAAATTCACATCCCTTAAACAGTATATGTTTGTCACATATATTGCAGACATACAGCAATATATTATTATTACAGCATAACTTATAGCCTATAATAAGGTATTAAACATCCAAATACAAGTCTAATATGATGATTATGGAAATTACCAAGTGACCCTACAGCATGACTGGATCATTCTCATCCTTTAGTCTCAGCTTGGAGGTCTCCTCTTCTGAGGCCGTCCCTGATTATCCCAACTAAATTAACCCTGTGTCATTCACTATCACACTACCCTGCTGTTTCCCAATTTTCATAGCACTTACCACTATCTGAAATTATCTTGTTTATTTCCTTGATTTTTGTCTTTCTTCCTCCACCAAAATGTAAGCTCCATAAGCACAGGTACCTTCTCAGTCTTGCTCACCACTGAATCCCCATTACATAGGACAGTGTCTGTACACAGTAGGCACTTCATAAAAATACTGAATAAATAAATTAGGATAATTAGCTCAAACAATAATGTAAACCAGAAAAAAGAAGACAGTGGACTACACAGCAAAGAAGCTAGCAAAGAAGAATGGAATTTTGAGAATGACTGTTTCATAGATGACCCTTTTCTCAGAGAAACTGGTACCTCTAAACTGCAAAGGCACCCATTTAAAAAGCGAGTGTCTGTATCTTATATGATTAAGCAAGAGGGCACTTCGCTTCTCAGGCCACAATTACCCCTGTCAGAAGGGTTTTTTTAAGGGAGCCTTGACTACAAGGCCACTCCAATCACAAATCTGCAGCCCCACACTTTACCAGCAGGCATTACTGGTCCACTTGAATTAATAATTTGTTGGCTGCATCAAGTTCAGACATGCCCTGTCTTCTCCATTTAGACGATGATCCTTCCCCAAATAAGCCTCTTTGCAAACTCCATAGACTCATGATTCTGCTACCTACTCCTCACCAGTGCTCTATCAGAAATGTCACTGAAGGGAATGGTAAAAGTAACACAGAACACATCTTGCCTTGTTGTCAGTTGTTAGCTGGTTGTTTACCCATCAGTCATCCTAAAAACAAATTTCCTGTAGAGGCAATAAAGGGGAAGGTTCTTATTCAGGCACACACACTAGCTGTATGTTCTTGGCAATTCACTTACCATCTCTGTCTCAGTTTCCTCATTTGTAAAACAGGGATAATCAAGAGTATCTATCTCAAAGAGATTCTGTGAGGATTCATTAGCATACTGTAGGATATGCAGAAAGCATCAATAAATGGGAGCGACTTTTATTTCGAAGAGGATGATGATGACTATGATTTTTTTCACTAGTTTATGAACTCCTGGAGGGTAGCGACAGTTCTTGGTTCCTGGTAAGATTCAATTTAACTTAAAAACGTGGAAAGGGGGACAACGGCTTCCTCATTTTGCTGTGTCCAGACCCCTCCCCACTAAATCAATCTCTAGGCGCCTGCCATTTGCCTAAACTGGGGGGTAGGGAACTGGGATTATAACCAGATAGAAGCAAAGGGTGGGAAACACCCAGTAGCATCATGGGTAATAAAGAGAATTTCCTTTTTTTCTTCATGCTTCTGCCCCCAGAGAATCGCAAAGGCAGAGTAAACAGCGCTTCTAGGGTCTTTGCTTGGTGGTAACTGCCGTTCAGAAATGGCCAGGGCACACCCTGGGGATGCTCCCCTAGCCAGAAAAAAAAAAGGCCCAACCACTTTTATCAACAGGAGGTGGTTCCTCGGGTCTGGCCCGAGTTTATTTACTGTGGACCCTCTGCCCTCACCCTAGCGCCCCAAGCCCACCTCCCCCAACTCCTCTGATAAGGCTCCATCCCGAACACCCACCAGACGGTGCCAGCATCTGAGCATCACCTCCGCGCCCGGTGCCGCCGGCCCCCGGGATATCCGCCTCCGCCCACCCAGAGCCTTCCCAGAGGCTCGAGGCCCAAGAGCCCGGCACCTTCGCTCGGGTTCCGTGCAGAGCCCGCCCTCAGATAGCGCGCCAATTCCGCCCGCCCTGCGGCCTCGCAGCCGGACCCGCTGAGTCAAGGCCCCTCTCACGCACACACCTGTTCTCCCACGGCCACGGCAGCTTTCCTCCCCTCGCTCCGGGCCTTGGCAGGAAACAAACTGCTCAATTGGTACTGACTGAGAGCAGCTCCATCCACCGCCGCCTCCTCCTCCTCCTCCCCGCCATATTACGGTGCTCAGGCGGCAACGCGGGCTCCTGGCAACCGCCGCCGCCGCCGCTGCCGCCGCCGTCCGGACTCCACCTCTTAGGGCCGGCACTTCCGGTGGTTGCTTCCGGGCCGTTGGACTGGTTGGGCCTCCATAAAACTACAATCCCCGAGGTGCTTTGCGCGCCTGGGTACACGTCCAGGCCCAGCGATGGAGGGCGTTGTACTTGAGGGAGGCGCGGTGCAAGCTGGGAGGCGTAGTCTTCACTGCAGGCTCGCAAATCTTATTTCATTAAGAACGCTCCTCAGGTCTGAAGCCCTCTGAAATATTCCTTGAAACTGCTATTTTTCACTTACCGGTATAGAGGAACTTCTTTATGTATAATCGTTTTAATACATACAACGGTCACCAAACTTTTTTTCTCTGTCAATAAAAAATTACTGAATCCTAGATGCCAACTCTAAGCTTCAACACATCCATACCCGCTTGCAAATCAGTGGGAAAATAGCTCCAAGAAAGGTAGTTAACAGGTCCAAGATGGCAGGAAAAGCTCAGAATGTTTTGCCAAAGTTCTCTATCGAAACATGTTACCAGCTTTTTGTCAACTGAAAAAAAAAAGGCACAACATAAGAGTTGTGAGTTAAGTTTTATTTGGGGCAAAATGAGGGCTATAGGCCAGGAGACAGCATTTCGGATAGCTCTGAGAAACTGCTCTGAAGAGGAAGGGGGGAAGGCCAGTGTTATATATGGTTTTAGTGAAGGGGGATCCGTGCAATCAAGCACACATTTTGGCAAAGGCTTGCTGCTAGTCACAGGAGCAGATGTCACTGTTAATGATTTTAGTGCTTTCCTAGATATGAGGAGATGCAAGAATTGGGCTCATAAAATCTTCCGAGAATATCTAACTATCTCCCTGAACTCCTTTCAGGGTGTGTTGAAGGTCAGTGGCTGCAGTGGCTAGTAATTTAATCCTTGTAGAGGCAGATGGCAACTGCCAGCTTTTTGTGGGCATTTCCAAAATATGATTTAGCAGCTAGCCACTTTCCATTTCCTAAATCGGCTTTACTTTCTGCCTCTCTTACTGACCCTCTTTCCCGTGCCTATTTTTTCATATGTAAAATAAGATTTTCAAAAGTGCCTATCACAAGGTCGGTTGCGAGGAACAACTGAGATAATTCTTGCAGTGCCTTGCACAGAAGCCCCATCATTAGCCCTGAGTAGGAGGAGAAGGTTAGAAGGAGTAGCAGTGGAAAATTCATGGCATAAAACTGGGGTGTCATGATGTCAGCCCTGAATCTGCCATTTCATTGACTCCGCTCAAGTCCTTTGACTTCTCCTGGCCTCAGTTTATTCATCTATAAAATGAGGGCATTATTAAAATCCCTTCCAACTTTATAATCCGATTATGCCTCCTTTGCTATGTTCTTTCATTCCCTCAGAATCTGAAAAAATCCTTCTAAAGTCGACTGAATTCAGTTTCCTGAGGTAATACGCAACCGAGCCTGTTGTGAGAATAACACACAAAGCAGTCGCAGTCATGGAACCTGGAACGTGGTTATGTGCTCTATAAATGTTAACTGTACTCTCTAACACTATTATTTTGCCCCACGAGAATGTAAGCCCCATGAGAGCAGGGATCCTGTCGGTCCTGTTCACTTGCTGTTGTCCTGAGCATCCGGACTGCTGTTCGCATACCTTCAATTGAATTAATCAATAGTGTAAGCGTCCTGCCCCTCCAAAATTTCCTTGACGGCAAAATGGAGTCATTAAGATCCTTTCCAGTCTTACGACCTTAAGACTGCTGTCATATCCCTCGCCTTGCTTCTAGAGTTTGAAAGCCCCTGAGGAAATCCGGACCACAGAATAACGCAAAACGTACTTTGGAACTCGCCTCCGTTGCCTTGGCAGCTGCTACGCCCCGAGCTCTGGAGATCCTCGGCCCTGATTGGCTGGACCTCGGGCTCCTTCTACGGAAGTAGTCGCTGCCGCCATTGTGCGGCGCTCGTCCAGTCGAAGGGTGTCAGCTGCGGTCAGCGCTTTGGGCTGTCGTCGTAGTTTCTTGGTTTCCTATCCGCGGAGCCCGGCGGGACTGGGACTCCCGTCCGTGCCGGTGCGGGCGCCGGCATGTGGCTATGGGAGGAACAGGGGGGCCTCATGGGCCCCTTCTCCTTCCTGATGATGCTGCTGCTGCTGGTGACGCGCAGTCCCTTCAATGCTTGCCTCTTCACCGGCAGCCTCTACCTTCTGCTGCGGCTCTTCAGCTTTGAGCCGGTGCCCTCCCGCAGGGCCATGCAGGTGCTCAAGCCCCGGGACCGCGTCTCCGTCATCGCCCACCGCGGCGGCGGCCACGACGCGCCCGAGAACACGCTGGCGGCCATTCGGCAGGTGAGTCCTACACTCCTCCCGCCCTTGCGCGCCTCCTGGGAGCTTGGACTTGTGCCTGTCCTTCCGAAGGTTCCCCAGCCTTTTCATGATAGCCTTACCACTTCCCCATTTGTCCACAAGGAATACATTCAAGTGGCCCTGGATCCCTCTGAATTACGGAAAATCTCCAGACTTCAAGTGTTTATAGAACACTGCAAATACTTAACGTATTTGCTATGTGCCAGGTACTGAGGATGGTCATGAACAAGACAGAAAGGGTACCTGCTTTCACAGAGCTTGCATTGGAGTAGGGGAGACAGGTCTTAAATAAATAAACACGTACATAAGGTACTTTAAGAAAGCGATGAGTGCAATGAAGAAATAGGGTTACCGAATAAGGAATGTCGGGAGGGTCATTTTAGACAGAAATCCTGTCCGAAGAAGTGACCTTTGAACTGAGACCGGGATTATGAGGAGCCGCCATGGATCTGGGGGAAAAGTGCTCCAGGAAAAGGGAACAGCAAGTGCAAAGGTCCTGAGGTGGGAATGATGTTGGAATCCTCATGTAACAGAATAGACAGTATATGGCCTGACTTCAAGGGACAAAACAAAGGCTGGTGTGTGAATGAAGTAGGAAATGTGGCCAGGTTAAGTAGAGCCTTGGTCAGTCGTTAGCTAACATACTCTAAACGGATCACCTTCACAGCGGCTGTCTTTACTTGTCCTTCAGATTATCCAAATCATCTCCTTATCACCTTTCCCCGTGGTAAGACAACACTAGCAGGGGGACTCCTGATAATTTCTGCCTCCCCTTTCCACAGGGAGCTCTCGGCAGTCTCCGGACTTCATCATAATAACAGCTTGCGTAGTAAGAGAGCTTTGCAGTTGTCTAGGCACTTTTGCATAGGTGGAAATATATCTGATCCTCTCATTTCCCTGAAACATTATTTTAACATTAAGTGGGTAGGAAAACTGGCTCAAACACACACAGCTCCTTTTCGAATTCAGCCTTCTGATTCCAAGTCCCAGTGCCCTTTGTCCTAGATTAGAATATGTTCCAGGATGTAAAATTTGAACTGAATGTCCTTTCTTTGTCCAGCTAGGGACAGACAGTATTGTGTAATGAACAAGTTACTTAAGCGCTCCGTGTCCCAGTCAGAGTCACGGGTAGGATGTAGCAAGCAAGGCACCCTAGGGTACCGCTCCTCACTCTAGTCCCAGCTCTGACCTTAAGTTTCCTCATCTGTAAAATGGGAATGATGTTAATATCCACCTAATCGGTTGTGATTCGATGAAATAGGCTACCTCACATTAAATGAGAAAGTATGTATGCGAAATACACATATACATAGTGTGTCATATCCTGTTGTGTTGCAAGGGAATTATAGCTAAACTCCATTCATGTCTTGTATGTTTAGGTTGAACATGTCTTTTTTTTTTTGCGGTACGCGGGCCTCACTGTTGTGGCCTCTCCCGTTGCAGAGCACAGGCTCCGGACGCGCAGGCTCAGCGGCCATGGCTCACGGGCCCAGCCGCTCCACGGCATGTGGGATCTTCCCGGACCGGGACATGAACCCATGTCCCCTGCATCGGCAGGCGGACTCTCAACCACTGCGCCACTAGGGAAGCCCTGAACATGTCTTTAATATATGTAATTATGATAAATAACATTGCACCAAGCTGATTCCTGGTTTTAAGAGGAAATGAGATGTAATTTAGCTTGTTCAAATACAAGGTCATTATCAATGAACGTTTTAGCCGTGACAGAATTTAGCTGCAGAAGACAAGGTCACGTTCTCCCTCTTGACTTCAAAAGAAATATGTAGTTTACTTCCTTCAAAGTTTGTTTTTTGTCCTGTTCTTTTTCACTTTGCTTGTTTGCAGCTCATAATTTATATTCTTAAACATTCTATTATGTAAAAAGTCAGGGAAGACATTCTGACAGTGGTAGAATTTCTGGTAGATTATGGAATAGATAGAGAAGGAAAAACTTGAGAGTGGTGAAATGAATGCATTCCAAAAACGGAGTCACGATTATAAACAGTGACAGAAGCATGAAATCAAACCCACAGTCCACTCCACAGAGGGGCCACAGTGCAGCTTTAAAAGTATAATTCAGATTATATCATGCCCATATTTAAAACCCTCCAGTGTTTTTTCTATTGCAGTTAGGTAAAATCAAAACACCTTTCCATTTTGGACCTTTCTCAAAGCCCCAACTCCCTCTGTTTAAACTACCTTGGGTGTTTGTTAATGATGCTTTTGGCTTCATGTAATAGAGAATCTAACTTAAAATATTTCAGACAATAAGGGGACTATCTCACATAGCAAGAGGTGTGTGTGGGAGAGGTGACTTCCAGGATGGTTTATTCCGCTGTTCAATTTGTGATTGTGGAGGACACCGTTTCTACTGATCTATCTGCTCTGCCACCTGTAGCATATTTACTAGCCCTCATTGTAGTTGCCAGGTGGCCACTGCAGCCCCAGGACTCACATTCTTACATATCAGCATCCAGCCTCAAGAAAAGGCTCTACTCCCTCTTCCATAAGTCTTGCCCAGAAGTCAGTCAGCCTCTCTTACTCTCTCTGACAGACACACATGGAGGGGTTGGGAATAGTCCACTTACAGCAGAGGAGAAAGCTGAACACTGGAGAAAGAACACCTCTCTACCAGCAGGGAAGAAGAAAGGAAATAGATCTGGGTAGGCAATCAGTACTTTGTGGCTCCTTCCTGCCTTGTGGCCTCTGTATTATATTTGCCATTTCTTCTACTTAGAAAACTCTTCCCCTGGATCTTTGTATTGTTGACTCCCTTTTATCACTAAGGTCTCAGCTCAAATGTCATATTCTTAAAGAGGCCTTCCCTGATTGCCTTGTCTAGTGACCCCCCACCTGCCTTAACTTTCACATTACCCTCTATTTTCTTTTTCAAACATTTATCACTATCATAATACATGTAACATGTGTATAGTCTGTTTCTCCCCAGTAAAGTGTAAGATCCATGTTCCTTTTCTTTCTTGCTCACCACTCTCTCCTCACTGCTTAGAACAGTGCCTGATACATAGTAGACACTCAATAAATATTTGTTGGAAGAATTGTGATGTACAAATAAGCAATAAGCCCATCAGAAAAGATATTCAACATTATCAGCCATCAGAAAAATGCAGTTCAAAACCACAGTGAAATAACACTTAATACCCACTAGGACAGCTGTAATCAAAAAGGCAGACAGAAGTATTGGCAAGATTATGCAGCAGTTGGAACCTTCATGCACTGATGGTGGGAAACTAGTCTGTCGGTTCCTCAAAAGGTTAAATATAGGACTTCCCTGGTGGCACAGTGGTTAAGAATCCACCTGCCAATGCAGGAGACACGGGTTCGAGCCCTGGTCCAGGAAGATTGCGGAGCAACTAAGCCCATGTGCCACAACTACTGAGCCTGTGCTCTAGAGCCCGCGAGCCACAACTACTGAAGCCCACCCGTCTAGAGCTCATGTTCCACAACAAGAGAAGCCACCGCAATGAGAAGCCCGTGCACCGCAACTAGAGAAAGCCCACATGCAGCAATGAGGACCCAACACAGCCAATAATTAATTAATTAATTAATTTTTTAGAAAGCGGTTAAAGATAGAATTACCATCTGAAGCAGCAATTTCACTCCTAGGTACATACTCAAAAGAATTGAAAACATGCATCATGCAGAAACTTGAACAGGATTGTTCATAGCATTATTCATAATAGCCAAAAAGTGGAAACAACAGAAATGTCCATCAGCTGTTGAAAGGATAAATAAAATGTGATATAGCCACACAATGGAATATTATTTAGCAAGAAAAATGAAGTCCCCATACATGTCATAACATGAATGAACCTTGAAAACAGTATGCTAAGTAAAAGAAGCTAGTCACAGAAGACTGCATATTATATAATTCTGTTAAATAAAATGTCTCGAATAGGCAAAGCCATAGAGAAAGAAGTAGATTAGTATTTGCCAGGGACTGGGAGGGTTGGAGAGAGAAGTGGGGACTGACTGCTAATGGATATGGGGTTTCTTTTTGGGGTGAAGATGTTCAGAAAGCGATTGTAGTGATGGTTGCACAACTGCAAATATGCTGAAAACCATTGAATTGTACACTTTAAATGGATGAATTTTATGGTATGTGAATAGTATGTCAAAAGCCGTATAAGTATAATGACTTTATTAAAGCAGACACTTTTTAAATCAACTTTGTCAAAGTATAATTTACATACAATAAAAGATACATTTTCAGTATACAGTTTGATGAGTTTTGATAAATATTTACACCTGGGTAGCCACCACCTCAATCCATTTCCATCACCCTAGAATGTTCCTTTGTGTTCTCTTTGGAGTCAACCCCTACTCCTGCCTCTGCTGCAAGGCAATCATTGATCTGATTTCTCTAACTATACTACACTATACTATTCTATTACTAAACTATTAGTATAGTTTCAAATTAACATCTTAAGTAAAATTTTAATAAATTACAGTATTTATGTAGACTAGTTTATGTGAAGTGTGTATGTTTAGAAGAAAAATACTATTATAAGAAACTTCTTGAAATAAGAGTATGAAGTATATACTAATATGTGAGTCAGATTCAGGGGTTTATCTTTTTGCCTCTACATAAAAGTATTGGGAAAGAAAGTTGAATGCAGTCATTAGAAGATCTGGTCTAAGAAGCTCTAGTATGGTGATTCTTTTATAGAACTTTTGTTTTGGGCCTTAATAAACTACACAGAAAAGACAAATAAATGAACTCATTACCTTTAGTATTCTTGCTAAAATACAGTGTCTCACCATTGTTTTTTTTGTTTTGTAGCCAAGTAACAATGGCCCTAATGGATAAAAGTACAATTGAACTGAATTACTAGCATCAAGGAGTAAGGTTAACATTTGTATTACAGTGAGAGAGATGCACTGTGAATACTGGAAATGTGATCTTGTTTTATGTTATACAATATATAACCCATGTGGATTTACCAGTGCATTATTAAACTTAGAAAAGATATACCTTTAATCTTATAAAAAGATGTATCTTTTAATCAGTGTAGATGTAAGCATTACATCTTATGTAATGACTTTTTCACCGAGGCAGAAGTGTTTTTCTAGTCATAATAGCTTCTGTTGAGCGCCACCTCTGAGCCAGGCACCAAGCTTGGTGATTTACATACATTATTTCTAAATCCTCACAACTCTTAAGATCATTAAAGAAGTATCATCATAAAAGTGATGAAACGGAGGCAAGAGTAATATTTGTAATTAGATGACATAGCCAGTTAGTGATGGAATTGGAATTTTTAGAGGGGGAAATCTTGGTCATATATGTGAAAATCAAACTGAAGCCTAGAAGAAAACAGTTGTTTATAAGTGGGGGTAAGAAAGGATTTAAATAAGACAGACAAATCTCCACCTATAAGGGACATAATTAATAAATTTGACTATTTTACGGTTAAAAACATGTTAACAAAACACAATAACAATGGCTAATGTTTATTGAATGCTTACTGTGCACTAGTACAGTGCTGTATGTTGTTTATGGGTACTTAAGTGTGTAGTAAATATATAAAGACCTGTAAGGGAATTATAGAAATTATGCACGTCCACTTGGCAGTTGCCTCTGGAGAAGAAGTGGGGAGGATTTTAGCTATATCTGTAGTGTGATAGTAAAGTCATGTGGTTAAGAGTGTAGCCTCTACCACGTCCTAGTTTGTGTAACCCAGAGCAAGTTTCTTAATCTCTCTCAGTTTCCTCATCTGAAAGTGAGAATGTTAATAGTACTTCCTGAAGGGTTGTGAGGATCAAATGAGTTAATACATTTACAGCAGTTAGAATAGTGCCTGACAAATATAAAAGGCTCAATAAATAATATAGCTATTATTGTTTTAGGGCAGCAAGAGATTGAAGCAAATATGGCAAAATGTTAACATCTGATAAGTCTTTTTTTTTGCTGTATACTACTATGTATGTTTGCATAATTTAAAAAAAAATTAAAGTCTTGATCATAATGAGTGTTTCACGTCTTCATTGTGACAAAGAAGCCAAGGAAGCAAATGTTGGATAGTGTGTCTTAGAGGAGCATGGCCCCTCAAACTTTATGTTCATGTTCTCTTTTTAGATAAATTCTTGTGCACCTTATCGGGCTTACCAACTTGTTGGCCAACAGCCAGTGCTGCTCACATAAACAAAATCTAGCGTCCTCTAGAAGCAGTCTTGGTGTTTCTGCTCTAGAGGATGGAATTAAACCAGCAAAAACCTGACTCGTCCTGTTTATGCCAAGGTAGTGCAATATCCAACTAATCAACAAACACAGGGGAATCATCAGAGATACTGCACCAAAGAGAGTGTAGGTCAACAGTGAAATGTGACTAAATATTTGTAATTGTAAGCCAGTAATGGTCTGTATAGTTAAAGCAACCAGAGAAAACAAATTCCAGAAGTCTCCCCATCTGCCACTCTGAGAGTGAGAAAAGTGGGGAAATTGAAGTTTATAAGGAATCCATAAGTGTGGACCCTGAAGTAAGGTTAACATCCATGAAAAAGAGAAATAGGTTGGGTTGCTCTTTGGTATAGGAAGGGAATAGAATCAGTAAGAGAAACTGTCTACTTAGCCAGTCCTGTTGGTCATCTTTAGTGTTTAGATTGCAAAATGACATCTGTGGCCACTTGACATTAATATCGTTGGTGTTTTTGTTAAGGCAGCTAAGAATGGAGCAACAGGCGTGGAGTTGGACCTTGAGTTTACTTCTGATGGGATTCCTGTCTTAATGCACGATAGCACAGTAGATAGGACAACTGACGGCACCGGTCGATTGTGTGATTTGACATTTGAACAAATTAGGAAGCTTAATCCTGCAGCAAATCACAGATTAAGGTAAGTGGTGTACTGTCAACTAAACATATCTTTCAACTTGTGTTGGAGATCACAGAAAGACACTGGTACCTTCTAATTACATCTTCTGCTCCAGAAGAGTTGTTTTGTTGTGTTTTGTTTTCAGCTGTATACAGGTTTCCCAAGTAATGGGCAGGTGCCACGAACAACAGAAATATGGCATGAATGCTTTTCAGCTTTTCCCACTGAGGCCAAATTTGGCTTCAGAAATTATTCTCAAGACGATACTCTAACGTGACAATTACTTTGTACTGTCATATAAATTTATATATGTATATATGGTGTGTGTGTGTATGTATATCAGAGCTAATTGTATAAGATGTTCCAGAAGAAAAGGGTTCTATGATCAAATAAGATCCAACACTATACTTTAGATATTCCCCTTGGGGATAAACATTTCACGTCAATCAATTCTTGCCTTTAACTTAGTGTTTCTAAAATGTATATGACCACAGAACCCATGCCCTTCCCACCATTAACAACTATAAACACCTCAGAATTGGTATCTGGGTAATATACTTTGGAATGTGGTTATTTAAATCCCTCTCCTCTTGTCTTTGTAATACCGAAAAATGTGTTCTTACTGTAATTCATGTCATATCAATTCTCTGGTCAATTTATTTGACCCAGTGATTAAACTGTAGTCCTCCCTAAAAGATGATTCAGACTTTATTTTCCTAGGAACTGAAAGAAATTAAAAGTCAGCCAAAGGAAGTCATACTTTAGAAAGAATACTGATAACACTTGAAAGTTCTGAGTCCAAGCTGCTGGAATTGCTCTCTGCTGTTACAGACATTTCATTGCTCAGCTGTAGGCAAGGGGAAGGCTGGTTTTAATATTATAGTGACACTGTAGCTAATAAGATGTCAAATTCAAAGTCAGCACTTAATGCAAAAAATGCTTAGGGTCAGCGTCACCCTGAAAATACTCTAAGAAGGCATGGTATTGGAGCCAATATGCCATCTTAATGTCTTTAACCCAAGCAGTCTTTGTTCCATAGTTGAAAGGTTGCATTTTCTTTGCTTAAATACCAAATAATTGGCTTGTGTTTAGAGACTATGTTGTTGGAAAAGAAGGGAAAATTTCTGTCAGTGGGGTAAAATGCTCATCCTGAGAGGGGAGCATGGCAACTAAGACTAGCCGGAGGAATAGCAAATTCATGTCTCTGATTCCCAGGGAATAGTCACTGAATAGAGTGGCTGGCAGAGTTTGCTGTACTATTTATCTTTATCTTTTTTAAAACCAATATCTTACAGTTGAATTAATACTGTTGAATTAGCATAAGTTAAATCATGTAGAGTGAAATTTTGTTATTTGAGAAAAGCTGATTTCTTATGTGTCAGGCACTTAACTTTCCTTTTCTTTTTCAGAAACATATGTATTAGAAAATTATTTATTTTAACCAGTTTCACTTAAATGCACAACCGTACAGTTAAAAGATGTATATATAGCTAGGAATTTCTCCTGCATAAGGTTCTATTAGGGAAAGTACAATCTTGGGTCTCTGAGTTCTCCAAAGATGGCATATACTCTGCCCTTGAGTGAGTAGAGTTACTAATTATATTATAAATCCAGTGACTGCCTAAAAAATAAATGATTTTTGTTGTTGCTGTTCTGTGGCCAAGAATATCTTTAATTTGGTTTAAAAACATATTATCAAAAAAAAAAAACATATTATCCTTGGACTTTGGTATGGTTGGAGAAAGGAAGTTGGGGAAACACTCTTTTCCTTTGGTTGGGAGACATTTTTCAAATGTCTGTTTCACTAAACTTTTATCTTTTCCTTGTTCCTACAATGTACTATTCCTTTTCCCTCTCTTATAGGAGTGATTTCCCTGATGAAAAGATTCCTACCCTGAGAGAAGCTGTTGCAGAGTGCCTAAACCGTAACCTCACAATCTTCTTTGATGTCAAAGGCTATGCAAATATGGTACAGTTTATACCATAGACTGCACTTTGGAAAAGACAGCTTTATTTAAGTGCTAGTTTGTTCCAAAATTAACTATATATTTTATTTTTTATATTCTTAAATTATTTTTACAAATTATATTTGCTTAATGGAAGTTTACAGTGCAAAAATCCACATCTTCAAGGAAACAGTAAATTATGGAACCTTTTTAACCTTTTAACCTTTGATGGAACCATTTAACAATCCCCAGTATTCGACAACTAGCACAAAATAGAACAGTCAGGTTTCTTTTATTTGCATGAAACATTTACAAAAGATATTAAATGAACAGTAAAGAGGCACTTCTTTTTTTTTTTTTTTTCCAGTATGCGGGCCTCTCACTGTTGTGACCTCTCCCGTGGCAGAGCGCAGGCTCAGCGGCCATGGCTCACGGGCCCAGCCGCTCCGCGGCACATGGGATCTTCCCAGACCGGGGCACGAACCCATGTACCCTGCATCGGCAGGCGGACTCTCAACCACTGCGCCACCAGGGAAGCCCAAGGAACAAGATTTTTAATGAGCACCTCGGGTTTTATTGATGATAACGGCCCATGTTTGGGAACGCTGATAGGTCCTACATTTCACCCATGGTGTACTGACCTTCATGATTATTTTCTTAGAATAAAGAGGGGTGAGGGAGGAGAAGAAATTTTTTTTTTTTTTTCCAGCTATTTGAGCTTTCTGGTTGGGTGCTCACAGATGGTTTGGGCAGCATTGGGCAGAACATAGTGATCTAATTCACCAAAATGGGAGCATAGGGACTTCACTGGTGGCACAGTGTTTAGGAATCCACCTATCAATGCAGGGGACACGGGTTCGAGCTCTAGTCTAAGAAGATCCCACATTCCATGGGACAGCTAAGCCCATGTGCCACAACTACTGAGCCTGCGCTCTAGAGCCTGTGAGCCACAACTACTGAGCCCGCATGCCACAACTACTGAAGCCCGCACGCCTCGAGCCCATGCTCTGCAACAAAGAGAAGCCACCGCAATGAGAATCCCGTGCACTGCAATGAAGAGTAGCTCCCACTTGCCGCAACTAGAGAAAGCCCGCACACAGCAACGAAAACCCAACGCAGCCCCCAAAATTAATTAATTAATTAATTAATTTTAAAAATGGGAGTATAAAGGAACAAGTGTTGGCATTAAATTGGAGACAGTAGATAACAGGAGCCAAGATCACGGGCTTTGGAGATTGTGATTAAACTCTCACCTACTACAGTGTAACCTTAACCTTGATAAGCTTCTGTTTCCTTATGGGCAAAATGGGAACAATGTAAGAAATGATCACATAGGGTTGTTGCGAGAATCAGATAAAGAATGTAGGTGAAGCATCACACATGGTGCATGTTAGTTCACAACAAGAAAACTACTTCGGCTCTATAGCTCACACTCTGTGATATTAGTGAAGGGAAGCATGAGATGAATAATTTCTATGTTTTCTATGTTTTTTATTTTGGGGAATGCATTTAGTTGCTTATATTTGGTTATAGGTTATGTGTGACTTTCCAAAAATTAGGGGTATTTCAAGAATTATGATGTAGCAACATTACATTCCACCTAACGTCTGGTCATCTCTGTTGTTAGCTGCTACTGTTGCTCAGTGGCCAAATCTGTTAATTCACTAGAGGTTACAAACTATCAGTATTTTAATTCTATCACTTCTTCTTCATTTGGTAGCTGGTCTACTGCAAAAAGAAACTTCTGCTTTTCTTGGGAAGAGTTGGGAGACTCTTCCCAGTTTCTCCCTTGTCCCATTGCTTCTCCTTCCCTGTTGATGATGGATGACGTTTCCTCTTAGTCGCCTAGACTGAGAAAATCTACCCTCTCTAGTTTGCAGACTGGTTGACTCCCACTTCAGCTAGGAAAGGCAGAGGGAGATAGAGTTGTGGGTATAAAAGGACCTATCCTAGTGGCTAAACTAGAATATAAGGAAAAGATTTTAAAATTTTGCTTCCAACCTCCACTGGCCTGTAGTCTGCCATACTTTTCCAAAGTATGACAAAAGGAGGTGAGCCTCTCAACAAAATAGTAAAGCAGCAGTACCCCAGCTTCTTCCTTATCTGCTGATGTGAGTTTAAAATGCATCCTAGTGGATAAAGCAACCTACCAAAACTCCTTTTCACATCCCCATATATTAGTAAATTTCTGATTTACTTAATAGAGTTGTACTTATATATAGTAGTTACTGGTTGGGACTACATTTTAATAGATTTTAAATACATGAATCTCTTTTACAGGCTACTGATGCTCTGAAGAAAATATATATGGAGTTTCCTCAACTATACAATAATAGTATTGTCTGCTCTTTCTTGCCAGAAGTTATCTATAAGGTAAAATTCTGGATTTTTGTTGTGTATAATATTATGTTAGTTGGTGGTAATAATAGCAGTGGGCTAAATAAGCATAAGATAGATGCTCGTTAAACTGAACTGAATTAAGAAACTTCTCTTTTTTTTTGAATTTTATTATTATTTTTTATACAGCTGGTTCTTATTAGTTATCTATTTTATACATATTAGTGTATGGATGTCAATCCCAGTCTCCCAATTCATCCCACCACCACCACCCCCCACCCCACCCCCTTTCCCCCCTTGGTGTCCATACGTTTGTTCTCTACATCTGTGAAGAGACTCCTCTTTTAAATTAACAAAAATGCAGGAAGGGGAAAGTACTCGTACGCCGTTTTAAAATACCATGATTCCTTTTTAGCTCCTTCTTTCATGTTGTTTATAGGCTCATTCAGATTACTTTGGAAACATTCTCAGAACAGAATGAATTATATATTTCTGTGTCTCACTAAGTAACAGCAGACTATACCTTTTTAAAAAATAAGTCTTATAGAGAATTTAAAATATGCATAATTTGAAATATGCAAATACATAGATACTACAAAGCAAGCCCTCCTTTAACCATAATCCAGCTTGTTTCATCCATAACCCCATTTATCCCCAGAGTTGTTTTTTTTTTTCTTTTTTGTGGTACGCAGGCCTCTCACTGTCGTGGCCTCTCCCGTTGCGGAGCACAGTCTCCGGTCGCGCAGGCTCAGCGGCCATGGCTCACGGGCCCAGCCGCTCCGCGGCATGTGGGATCTTCCCGGACCGGGGCACGAACCCGTGTCCCCTGCATTGGCAGGCGGACTCTCAACCACTGCACCACCAGGGAAGCCCCAGAGTTATTTTTTTTAATAGATCTTTATTGGAGTATAATTGCTTCACAATACTATGTTAGTTTCTGTTGCACAACAAAGCGAATCAGCCATATGCATACACATGTCCCCATATCCCCTCCCTCTTGAGCCTCCCTCCCATCCTCCCTATCCACCCCTCTAGGTCATCTCAAAACACCAAGGCAATCTCCCTGTGCTATGCTGCTGCTTCCCACCACCCAACTGTTTTACATTCAGTAGTGTATATATGTCAATGCTACTCTCACTTCACCCCAGCTTTGCCCTCCCACCCCATGTCCTCAAGTCCATTCTCTACGTCTACCTCTTTACTTCTGCCCTGCAACTAGGTTAATCAGTACCTTTTTTTTTAATTCCATTTATGTGCATTGGCATACAGTATTTGTTTTTCTCTTTCTGATTTATTCACTCTGTACGACAGACTCTAGGTCTGTTAAAGACCCCCACTATTATTGTGTTACTTTCGATTTCTCCTTCCATGGTTGTTAGCATTTGCCTTATATATTGAGGTGCTCCTATGCATAAATATTTATAATTGTTATATCTTCTTCTTGGATTGATCCCTTGATCATTATGTGGTGTCCCTCCTTATCTCTTGTAACAGTCTTTATCTTAAAGTCTATTTTATCTGATACGAGAATTGCTACTCCAGCTTTCTTTTGATTTCCATCTGCATGGGATATCTTTTTCCATCCCTTCACTTTCAGTCTGTATGTGTCCCTAGGTCTGAAGTGGATCTCTTGTAGACAGGATATATATGGATCTTGTTTTTGTATCCATTCAGCCAGTCTGTGTCTTTTGGTTGGGGCATTTAATCCATTTACATTCAAGGTTGTTATCGATATGTATGTTCCTATTACCATTTTCTTAATTGTTTTGGGTTTGTTTTTGTGGTCTTCTTCTTCTGTTGTGTTTCCTGCCTAGAGAAGTTTCTTTAGCATTTGTTGAAAAGCTGGTTTGGTGGTGCTGAATTCTCTTAGCTTTTGCTTGTCTGAAAAGCTTTTGACTTCTCCATCGAATCTGAATGAGATCCTTGCTGGGTAGAGTAACCTTGGTTGTAGGTTTTTCTCTTTCATCACTTTAAGTATATCCTGCCACTCCCTTCTGGCCTGCAGAGTTTCTGTTGAAAAATCAGCTGATAACCTTAAGGGGATTCCTTTGTATGTTATTCTTTGTTTTTCCCTTGCTGCTTTTTATATTTTTTCTTTGAATTTAATTTTTGTTAGTTTGATTAATATGTGTCTTGGTGTGCTTTTCCTAGGGTTTATCCTGTATGGGACTCTGTGCTTCCTGGACTTGGGTGACTATTTCCTTTCCCATATTAGGGAAGTTTTCGACTATAATCTGTTCAAATATTTTCTCAGACCATTTCTTTTTCTCTTCTTCTTCTGGGACTCCTGTAATTCAAATTTGGTGAGTTTAGTGTTGTCCCAGAGGTCTCTGAGACTGTCTTCAATTCTTTTCATTCTTTTTTCTTTATTCTGCTCCTTGGCAGTTATTGCCACCATTCTGTCTTCCAGCTCACTTATTCGTTCTTCTGCCTCAGTTATTGATTCCTTCTAGTGTATTTTTCATTTCCGTTATTGTGTTGTTCATCTCTGTTTGTTTGTTCTTTAGTTCTTCTAGATATTTGTGAAACATTTCTTGTATTTTCTCAATCTGTGCCTTCATTCTGAGATTCTGGATCATCTTTACTATCATTGAAATTACTCTGAATTCTTTTTCTGGTAGATTGCCTATTTTCTCTTCATTTATTTGGTCTCGTAGGTTTTTTTTTACCTTGCTCCTTCATGACACATTTTTTTGACATCTCATTTTTTTTTTTTTAATGAGTGGGATTGTGTTCCTGTCTTACTGGTTGTTTGGCCTGAGGCTTCCAACACTGGAGTTTGTAGGCTATTGGGTAGAGTTGGGTGTTGGTGCTGAGATGAGGAACTCTGTTAGACCTCACTCCGATGAATATTCCCTGGAGTCTGAGGTTCTCTGTTAGTCCGGTGGTTCGGACTCGGAGCTCCCACTGCAGGAGCTTCAGCCCAACCCTGGGCTCGTGAACCAAGATCCCGTGAGCCGCGTGGGGTGGCAAAAAAAAAGAGAACAGTAACAAAGTAAAAAATAAAATTAGACTAGGAAACTACCAGATATGTTAGAAAGAATATAAAAATTAAAATATAGATGAATCAACAACTGGAAGGTACATCAGTACCACAATACTAAAAAAGAGGAGGAGGGAAAATTTAAAAAAAAAGGGCTGGGGGGAAGGCCTTGGCTGTGGGGGGCGGGGCCTAAGCAAGGGCGAGGTTTGGGCGGTGGGCAGGGCCTGTGCTCAGGACCCACAGGGCTGGAAAAGGCCCTGGGGGCTGTGGGGGGTGGGGCTTAGGCTCAAGGAACAGAAGGGGCCCAGGCGAGTCCCCTACCCCTGGTCTCAGAGGGCGGGGGATCTCACCTGGAAACCCAGCAGGCTTCCTGGGCTCGAGTGGGGGGGGCCCTCCTCTCCTCTCCTGCTCCTCTGGTCTGGGAGGGCCCCTCCCACCTGCCTCTCCTGATCTCCCTGACCTCCCTCCTATGCCGCCAAGGACCCATGCGGCCTGGAGGGGGCTTTGGAGGACAGGGGATCAGCGTGGGAGCCCAGCAGGCTCCTCAGGCCCGAGTGGGCTGGTCAATCACCCTCCACTCCTCTCCCCTCCTCCTGGAGGGCCCCTCCTGCCTACCTCTCCTGATCTCCCCATCCTCAGGGGCACAGATCCTGTCTATCCTCCACTTCTCCTCCCCTCTCAGTCCCCCTACATCCTACCGGTTCACTTTGGGGTCCCTTCCGTCTCCTTGGGCGTCAGAGTTCCCCAGCAGCAGCCGGCAGGCACCCTCGTTGTGGGGAGAAGCTAACTCCGCATCTTCCCACAATGCTGTCTTGACTCCGCCTCCTCCCCAGGGTTATTTTGAAGCAGATTCCAGATATCATATCATTTTATCCATGAAAATTACATTAAGTATCTTTAAAAAGTGATTCCTTTTTTTTTTAACATAACCACAATACCATTATCCCATCTAAAACCACTAACAAGAAGTCCTTAAGATCATCAAATATCCAGTGTATAAATCCCCCTTGTCATGTATTTATTGAAGAAATTAGGTTGTTTTGTAGAGTTTATTTAACAAAGTCTGGATTTTGCTAATTATGCCATGGTACAATTTAATACATTCATCTCCTCTGTATATTTCCTATGAATTGGTAGAGCTGAAGGCTTGATCAGGTTAGGTTCAGTTATTCTTGGCAAGGTAATTTCTTAGGCAAGGGTCTTCTTCCATCAGGGGGCGCATAATGCCGGGTTGTCTCATCACGTTGTCAGCAGCTGTTATTGATGCCAGTGGCCGGCTCTGGCAGTTTACTAGGGGGTTTATTTTTATTTTTAATATTTATTTACTTATTTATCCATTTATTTATTTGGCTGTGCCGGGTCTTAGTTGCAGCACACGGGATCTTTAGTTGCAGCATGTGGGATTGAGTTCCCTGACCAGGGATCGAACCCAGGCCCCCTGCATTGGGAATGTGGAGTCTTAGCCACTGGACCACCAGGGAAGTGCCTACTAGGGGTTTCAAAGTGTCAATATTTTAAGTCTGTCATTTCTTGTTCATGTATTACCTAGAGGGAATACTTCTATAAAGAGGACCTCATCTACTGTTTAGCTATCCAATAGGCAAAGAAATGCTTAATCCTGTCCTTTATTTACCAGTTTCCAAAATAATGAGTTGGTTCTTCAACAGTGACCAACACAGCATGTATTTAAAATTTTGCAGTAAGGGTGGAGCCTACTGGGATATAAACTGTCATTGAGATGAATAGTGTCCTGGGGCTTCTAGACATTTGGATCAGTGTTTCCCAAACTTCCTTGACCAGAGGCCTTTAAAATGAGTGATACCTTTTCCAGAGGACCATAGAGCACAGACTAAGAAAATTCCATCCATATCCCCCATTTGTCCATTGCTCTGTCCTTGTCCCTGACCCCACTTCTCTCCCTTCTCACCCCATTTCCCCGCCCCCCACAACTTTTTTCAGCCATCTTCTCTAAAAAGGATCAAAAACTAACCAGCGCATCTTGAAATGATCATGGTTCCATCTTCACTGTGTTCTAATTATCTCTGGCCATAATTTAAATTATCTCTGGCCAAATTTAAATCAATATCCAATTGAAAGTTACTCTTTGTGACATTATTAAAATTTGACCCTGAGGTTATAATGTTCTCATTTTAAAGATAGTGTTGCAGTTCTTTTAGGATTGTGGAGGAAGTGTTCTCATTTATACTATATATTAAATGCTTTACATTCAACACATTATTTTCTCAAAGGGTTTATGATGGAGTACTTATTTAGTAGACATGGGGGGCAGCATACCTCCTTGTACAGACTGAGTACATTGGCTAAATCTAACGAACAAATGAGAAGTATTGGCCTTAAGATATGATAATTGCTTTATTTTCCAAAATTCCTTTCAGATGAGACAAGCAGATCAGAATGTAGTAACAGCTTTAATTCACAGACCTTGGAGCCTTAGCCATACAGGAGATGGGAAACCACGCTTTGCTGCTTTCTGGAAACAGTCCATGTTTGTGGCATTGGACATTTTGCTCGATTGGAGTATGCATAATATCTTGTGGTACTTGTGTGGAATTTCAGCTTTCCTCATACAAAAGGATTTTGTATCTCCGTAAGTTGGAAGATTTTTTTTATCTTCTGATACATTTCCTGAATGTTCTTCTTGAAAAGGGAGGATTAACAGTGGACACCTGGATTGGTTCCCACCCATGAAGCCCACCATGCCTTTATTAAGTTGAAATGCCACTAGCTTCTTAGGTGGGAAGAGTTTAGGCATATTTCACTGTTTCCAAAACAAGTTGATCAAATATTCTTAGGTTTTAGTGCATTTTAAAGAAAAAATAAACGTGCCAAACTATGACGTCAGAGACAGAGAGATTGTATTTCCTTGTGATTGGCTCCCTTTAAAAACCAACATAGGATCTAGGGCAGAACCACAATGAAGAGGTCTTGTGGGCACCTACCTCATCCATCCCAACTTTCCTTCTGCTCCCCTATATATTACAGGCTCTACTCCATTGCTCCCAGGAAACTTTCCATTCCCTAACCTGCTAGCAATCTCTGAATCTTTATTTTGGCAATTTTATAGCTGTGTATTTCAGGTGGTTACAGTCGTAAGTTTCATATTATTTCAGGTATGTGTGCATTCAGTTCAATAAATATTTGTTGTATGCCTGCAGTATTGCAAGGTACTGTGTTAAGAAGCTGAAGATGCTGTGGTAAAGAAAGAAAGCCACAGTCTGCTCTCATGGAGTTTATAGTCAAGTGGAAGAGATAAATGCTAATCAAATAAAGATCCAATAAACATAAAATTAGAGCTAAGATAAATGCTGTGTAAGAGAGAACAGTGCACATATGCTGATTAATTTGTCCTAGTCGAGGGAGTCAGGGGAAACATCCCCAAGGAAGTAACAGCTGAGCTAAGATCTGAAGATTCCTCATTTCTGAAGGAAATGAGGGGATTGGGGGTGGAGGTCCAAGTCAGAGGGGAAGACACGTGCAAAAGTGCTGTGGCAGGAAGGAGCCTGGTTCTTTCAAGGAACTGCAGGAAAAATCAGTATGCACACAGTACAGCACAGAAAAGAACGAGGGAGTGTGGTGTAAGATGAGGCCAAAGAAACAGGTGGGACTAGGCTAGGTACAGCCTCCGGTAGGGGTTTGGGGTGGGGGGGTCTTCAGCAAGTGGCTGAAGTGTTGAAAGCCGCAGCGGCGTGGTGGAGGTGCTCATGCTGGGTTTGGAACACCCTCTGGCTGCAGTGCGGAGGCCAGTTAAGAGGCTCCTTCTGGGGGCTGTTAGTACTCAGCGAACACCATATTTAGTGACCATTGTAGATTCCTGAGACAATTGACATTATTCTAACAAGGTTGGTTTTTCCTCTTTCTCCAGGGACTACTTGAAGAAGTGGTCAGCTAAAGGCATTCAGGTTGTTGCTTGGACTGTTAATACTTTTGATGAAAAAAGTTACTATGAATCCCATCTTGGTTCCAGCTATATCACCGACAGCATGTTGGAAGACTGCACACCTCACTTCTAGACTTTTCCCCCAGGGAGGAAACACAGGTACAGAAACTGCCTGCTGGCCTCATGGAGGAATATCAATATACCCAAGCCCTTGCGGGATCAGGTGGCTCCCACAAGCAGTAGTCGGTAACTGGGTATTTACCTGAACCAAAGCAAAACCCAGTGTTGCTACCATGCTCCATGAAATGCCTGAGTTCAAAACCGATGCTCTTGAAAGTCTGGGTCTGCAAAAAGGCACAACACTCTTGCCCCAACCTAGCTGAGGCACGCACTGAAGCCCAATGAAGATAAGCACAGATTGAATTGTGCAATTTGGGGGTGCAGATGCAAATGCATGGGAAATGCATGATCACTCAGAGTTGACGTTTTAAAACTTGACACACTTACATAACTTTACTTATTTAAAATATTTGTATCCAGCTATGTTATCAATGTACTGTAGACATCAAACTTGTGACCATACTAATAAAATCATTAAAAGGAGCACTAAGGGAAAACCATGTACCAAGCGTCATATCCTAAGACGTAAAGAATTTAAGGGAGCTGCTGTTTCCAATCCAGTGGCCTGGGCCCCTGGTGAGACATTGGTGTGAAGCAAAGAAAATGGTAAGGAGGTCTTAATATCAGTCTGAGGGATTGTTTATGGTATCTAGAAATAAGAGCTACAAACCACTAGGGGGCAGAGTTGTACCCTTTCAAGCTGCTCTACAGCAGATGATCACAGACAGAACTAGAAGAAACTTCTGGGAACATCTAGGCTTAGCCTCATTTTACAAATGAGAAAACTAAAATCTGGAAGGGAAGGGTCTTCCCAGAAATGACAGCTGTGACATAGAGCCTGATCTCATGATAAAATTTCTTGTTTACTATTTACCAGGAACTTCAGTGATTTAACATGTGTTATTTTAATTAACCCTCACAAAAATCTTACAGAGATATTAATCTCTTTTTACTGATAAGGAAACCGAGGTACTGCAAGGTTAAAGTCACTTACCCAAGGTCTCAAATTCCTTGGTGTAACTGGTATTCAAGTCCAGGTCAGTCGGTTCAGAGAACCACTCACTTTGTCTGCCTTTATAACGTAGAGCCCTTGATTCCCAGCTCTGCTCTTTCCCATGTGAGCTTCCAGGGGTCTTATTGTGAACTTAAGTGGCATCATTTAAAATGAAGTTGAGTCTTCAGAAAATTGCAAAGCTCGCTCTCTCCTCTAGCTGCCCCACACCCCCACCATTCAGCCCTGTCTAGCCTTGATCACAGGCCCACAGCTTATTCATGACTTCCCTCCTGAATCCTCATGGGTCACTGAGCTCGGCCACCAGCCTACACAGCTGGATGGTGGTGAGAAGCAGACTGATTTTTGCTATAGTTGGTGTTGGCAGGAGGACAATAAATGAGGCTTGGGATGTTTACAAATGAATTTTCTTGAATTTTAAAATTAACAGCAGGACAGAGATTCAGTGAATGGAACAGATATCTAAACTGCATGACTTCCATGCCACGTTATGACTAGAGTGACAAGAGGAAGAGAAAGGGACCAAAGAAAACATCTGAGGACTGAATTCCCCCTTTGGTTTACCTGCAGAGGCTATACAGCAACTGACAGGGAAGAAATTCTCTTGGGGGCAGCACAGAGTTCACAACATCCCTTCTGTGGTGTGAAGACCTTTTGAGAGCCAGAAGTTCTCTGTCTCTTGACCTTTGTCCCAAATCCCTATTGCACTTGACTCAGCCAGGCCCAATTAAGGATTGAGATCCTATGCTAAGGTGGTCGTGGGCCTTGAAGAATGGAGAATTCAGATAAGAAAGAAGGTGTTAATTACTTACTTGGAAGGTTTAGTAAAGGGGTTAAAAACAGGATTTTATTTTTTTGGCTGCATTGGGCCTTCTTTGCTGCGCGCGGGCTTTCTCTAGTTGTGGTGAGCTGGGGCTACTCGGCTACTCTTCGTTGCAGTGCGCAGGCTTCTCATTGTGGCAGCTTCTCGTTGTGGAGCATGGATTTCAGTAGTTGCAGCACACAGGCTCAGTAGTTGTGGCTCACGGGCTCTAGAGTGCAGGCTCAGTAGTTGTGGCGCACGGGCTTAGTTGTTCCGCGGCATGTGGGATCTTCCCGGACCAGGGCTTGAACCCATGTCCCCTGCATTGGCAGGAGGATTCTTAACCACTGTGCCACCAGGGAAGTCCCAACAACAGGATTTGACATCAGAAAAAGTTAAATCTGAATTCCTAATCTCTAGCTCTATGACCTTGGGCAAGTCATATAGCTAGTGTCTTGAATTCATCTCTAAAATAGGGGCAGTATTAGTACCACGGCAGGGGTAGTTGTGATTAAAGGAAAGAGTACATGTAAAATGCTTGTTTATAACTAAGATTTATGGACTGCCTACCATGTACTGGACACTGTTTCAAATGCTTTCTATGTGTTTACTCTGCTACAACACCATGAGGTCAAGGTACCATTATAATTCCATTTTACAGTGAAGAAAACCAAAGCCCAAGGAAGTTAAGTAACTTACCTAAAGTCACAGACAGTAATAGGATAAGGATTCAGGCCCAGATTATGTAATTCCAGAGCCCACACTCTAAACCTAGGCTTATCCTTTTTTCTGTCGCTTAGCAAGGGCTCAGTCATGAGAAACGTTCCCAGCACTCCTTGCAGTGCCTGTCACAGTAGACAATAAAAGTTGTAAGAGGGCTTCCCTGGTGGCGCAGTGGTTGAGAGTCCGCCTGCCGATGCAGGGGACACGGGTTTGTGCCCCGGTCCGGGAAGATCCCACATGCCGCGGAGCGGCTGGGCCCGTGAGCCATGGCCGCTGAGCCTGCGTGTCCGGAGCCTGTGCTCCGCGGCAGTGAGAGGCCCACGTACCGCAAAAAAAAAAAGTTGTAAGAATGAGTTGTGGGATAGCCAAGTGGAAATTTCCTTGAGGAACCTGAATATAGACCTAGAGTGAGGTAAAGATTTGGGAGTGTAATGATTCAGTAGCATCAACAAATGAGCCGTCCAAAGATAGCATTCTTTCCAAGAAAGTCAATAGGGATAAAAATCACATCCTCTGCTGTTCATTGGACTGCCCCTGTGTTCTCAGAATGGTGGAGACAGATAACCTGGAAGGGCTACCTGAAAAGGCTTGAGAAACCCACTGCTTACTTCATTAAACGATACTCATTTTCTTATTTGGAGATGAGCGTGCAATCTTGTCCTGACAAGAAGTTCACTAAGACATGAATACTCTTTATTAGACAAGAATCTCTAAATGACACCATTTCCTGAAGTGGGAATAATGCTTCAACAGGACAGTCAACCACAGCTTTGAGGACAAGGCAAGGTGGAAGTTAATGAAGTGTTCCAGACATCCACTCAAACCTTAGCATGGAGTGACGGTTACTGTAGGGCAAAGTTGCTTGATTTCTTTGATCAAAAATACTGAAGGGCTTCCCTGGTGGCACGGTGTTGAGAGTCCGCCTGCTGATGCGGGGGACACGGGTTCGTGCCCCGGTCCAGGAGGATCCCACATGCCGTGGAGCGGCTGCGCCCGTGAGCCATGGCCGCTGAGCCTGCGCGTCTGGAGCCTGTGCTCCGCAGCGGGACGGGCCGCAGCGGCGAGAGGCCCGTGTACCGCGGAAAAAAAAAAAAAATACTGAAGATTAATGACCTGTGTGTTCCTTTGTCAAACTTTAAATTACGCTCAAAATCTGACAGCAGGACACCAAGTGTTAAGAAGAGGATGGAGATCAGCTGGGCAGAGGGTTCTCAAAGAATGTTGTCCTTTGAGGCTGAAAGGGGTTCCTGGGCCCAATTCTAGTGTGTTCTGTGTGTGGAGGCTTCCTCACATCAACAACAAGCAATTCTCAGTCGCAGGCAGGGTCCTTCAGAATCCAGCTCAGTTCTGACACTATCTACCCAGAGATAGAATCAGATTCCATGGGTAAAGGGCTCAGTCCCAGACGACCATCCTCCAGATGCCAGCTGCAAGCACAGGGTGTTACCCGCAATTGTGACTGAATGGCTATAAATCAGGTATTCCCACAGTCCCCTCCTCAGGTTTGATTATTTGCCAGAACAGCTCACAGAACTCAGGAAAACCCATTCACTCACTAGATCACCGGTTTATTATGGGAGGCTATTAAAAGGCTACATAACCACAGCCAGATGAAGACATGCATTGGGCAGGTCCTACGCAGAGGAGCGTCTGTCCTCCCGGAGGACAAGGTCCTACGCAGAGGAGCGTCTGTCCTCCCGGAGGACAAGGTCCTACGCAGAGGAGCGTCTGTCCTCCCGGAGGGCAAGATCCTGCGCAGAGGAGCTTCTGTCCTCCCGGAGGGCAAGGTCCTACGCAGAGGAGCTTCTGTCCTCCCGGAGGGCAAGGTCATACGCAGAGGAGCTTCTGTCCTTCCGGAGGGCAAGTCCTACGCAGAGGAGCTTCTGTCCTCCCGGAGCTTGGGGCCAGGCATGGGGGCACACAGAAGTGTCAGAAGTGTTCTGTTTCCCCCACATGGAATCTCTCCAAAAAGAAGAGTAAAAAGCTGTCCTTTTGTTTTTTGTTCTTTGGGGTTTTTTTTTGCGGTACGCGGGCCTCTCACTGCCGTGGCCTCTCCCGCTGCGGAGCACAGGCTCCGGACGCGCAGGCTCAGCGACCATGGTTCACGGGCCCAGCCACTCCGCGGCATGTGGGATCTTCCCGGACCGGGGCACGAACCCGTGTCCCCTGCATCGGCAGGCGGACTCTCAACCACTGTGCCACCAGGGAAGCCCCCCTAGAAATTTTTGATGCAATATTCTTAGCTCACTATTTGCATGTTCAGTAAGTGCCTCAGGTGACTTTTATGGTCAAGCAAGTTCAGAAAGCACTACTCTAGATTCTAGCTCAGTTGTTCTCAGCCTTGGCTTCCCACTGAAACCATCTGAGAGCTTTCAGGGAAAACTATGGATTCCTGATTTAGTTGGTCTAGAGTGGGCAGGGCCTGGGTCTGGCTGTTCAAACAGCTCCATGTGTGATCCTGGGTGCAGCGAGCAATGAGAGCCCTGCTGCCTGATGAGAGGTCCTGATGGGACTGGGGGTGAGTTTCCCCTATTACGGGCTGAACTGTATTGACCCAAAATTCATATGGTGAAGTCCTGACCTCCAGTACCTCAGAATGTAACCATATTTGGAGATAAGTCCTTTAAAGATGTGACTTAGTTAGAATGAAGCCATTAGGTTGGGTCCTAATCCAATCTGTCTTGTGTCCCTATAAGATGAGGAAATTTGGACACAAAGGTACACCAGGATGTGTGCACCGAGGAAAGACCATGTGAGGACACAGCGAGAAGGTGGCCATCTACAGGCCAAGGAGAGAGGCCTCAGAATGAAACCAAAACTGTGGACACCGACTGTGGACACCTTGATCTTAGACTTCCCACCTCTGGAACTGTGAAAAAAATGAATTTGTGTTGTTTAAGCCTCCAGTCTGTGCTATGGGTTATGGCAGCTCTAGCAAACTAATATATCCCCTATATCTCAAGACTAAGGATGTGAGGATGTTACACACATCCAAATGTGTGTGTGAGACCTACAGACTAGATCTTTCTACTGTGTCTGCTCCTCCAGGAGAAGCAGGGGCTACACTGAAGTAAAGATAAGAGGTGAATGGAGAAGCAGTCCAGATATAAGCCCTGAGCATATGGGAAGTGAGCAAAAATGATGCTTCCAGAGGGAGTTCACATTTCAGTGCAGAAGCACAGATAGCATTAGGATAACACAGAGGGGAAAAAAATCCCATCAAACATCAATTCCACAGACTGCCTTCACTGACCCCACAGACAAGTTAAGTCTCCCGTCGTCCCTTGGGCTTCTCCTTCATGGCACCTGCTATAAGTAATTACTGTTTAATTATTAAGTTCCTGCCAAAAGTGATGTGCTAGACAGTATATGAGAGTGGAGGCTGTGTCTTGACTTGTGCACCATCTTGTTCCCCACCACGTGGTACATATTTGTTGAACGAAGGGATGAACGAAGAAGCACTTCTAGCAACCACTAGCAAAGATGGTACCAAAAGAACTGAATTCAGCTGATGAATGATTTAGTGAGCAAATAAGTCAATGAAGAAGTGAACCAATGACTGAGCACTGACTGGATGTTTGTGTTTTAAATTCGTCTTAAATGTTTTCTAAATTCAGTTCCCATTAGATTTCATGACAGTGATTACCCAAGAGGAGATTTCTCCTCCCGAGTAATTTGGTAATGGCAGTTTTCTGCTGGACTCTTCCATTTTAAGTAGAGTCAGGTGCCTTGTGAATCATTTAGGAAATCTGCAAAAAAATGCTTTATACATGTATGTGTGCATATGTACACACACACACATATACATACACATACATATTCAATATATATATTCCACACATCACCACCGATTTCATGTTTGGTTCAACGTAAGACTCTGATGATCATGTATAAAACCTCACAGGGGTAGAGTCCCAGTCCACACATGCCCACCCCAGTCCAATCCAAAAGACTCATGTACTCAATGTGCAGTAACGTTCATAGACGAGCCCTCTGGTTGTTTCTCACCTTTGGGAAAAATGGGGATGTTTTCAGTGCAAAGTCATGAACAAATGCACATTCCAAAATTCAGAGGCTTCACATCCCTGATCGAGGGTCACATTTTTATTCAGACTGGACCATTTGTCTTAGCACCAGTCTCCAAACCTTTGCCAGGTCTGGGAGTTCTGGGAGCAGAGATTTCTAAGGGTCAATCATTCATATGCGTCTCTCTTAAACTACAACTCTTCCCAGGTTTTTGTGAACTAGTTCAAATATTACAACAATCTTTACTGGAAAATCTCAAATATTTTGTCTGGAAAAATCAGCAATTCAGGTGTAAAAACAACAGCAGGGAGTGCCCAATTTTACTTCTGTATTTACATTGTAGTCAGTTTCCACTCCTGGCTACAGGCTTGAATTTCCCATCTGGGAATCTCCTAAAGGCCCAGGTGTCATGGAGGAAGCTGCTCCATCTTCATCTTCTCTCCTTATTTGGTTGGTGTCTGGGTACCACAATAATTATCAGGCCTTTGGATTATCTTCTTGAACTGATCGCCTAAATCGCAGGTCTGGGTTTGATACAGGAGAAGAGAAGTTAGCACAGAGGCACACTGCCCCATATCTCCAAGGGAAAAACCAAATTAGCTTTCAAGATCCCGCAGCTTCTCAGGCCTTCCTTGCCTCCTCCTTTTAAGTTTCTTCAATTCTCTCCCTTGAACTCCCATCATTGGATGCTGTCAGTGAATGCTATTCCAAAAAGATGAATGGTTTATTTGTTTGTTTCCTCCCCAACATTCATTCCCCTCCTGGCATCAGCCACATGTTTTCTTTGGAAAGCCACCCTTCTCCACTCTCTCAGTCCCTGTGGTCTGTATGTTTGTACCACCTGTATCTAGAGATGAGGTCTGCGACTCAGATCTGGCCAATGAAATCATCACAGTCTCTTGGCCACAGCAATTGTTTCAGATCCAATGAAACACAATGAGAATCTGGATCTCTTTCACACTAGACTTGAATCTGAGAAGATATAAGAAGCTAAGAAAGCTGTCTTGTAATTATCAGGAGATAACGTGGAAAAGAACTGAACAGAAAGAAACCAGGTTCTGCCAACATACTGTGAGACCCTGCTTCTGGCCACACCTAAAGCAAGAATTATTGTTGAGTTTTGGCTAAAGCCAGTTTGGGCCAGTTCTTGCAATTGAACGAGTGACTGATACAGGAGCAGTTCTGACCCTCTGTCTTGGGACCTATCATCTGGATGAATTAGGCCTTACTCAGTGCCAGTCAGGTACTCACCTTGAGCAGCATCATGCTCTCTGACACGCAGAGGACCAGATTGCTAAAAAAGAAGAAAACAAGAAATCTCATCACTGGAAGAGAGTGTACACCTCAGATCCTGCTGCATCAGTGGTGAGACTTGTGAGACCTCACCATTTTAATATTAACAGGTGACAGATTAAGACCAAGATTCAGCCATAGAAATATCAAACATGTTTCAATTTTTATGGGCAGTGATTCCATTCATTTAATCATTCATTTCACAGATATTTACTGAGCATTTACAATATATACCAGGTAATATATTAGGACCTGCAAAGGTACACTCATAATCCTTGCCTTCAAAGGTGGGCTTCTAGATCCCTTACCTATGTTGTGCTGATGGTATTAATTTGAACAGGCAGTAAACGACATGGCAGTCTCTTCTGACAAGATCATAACTTCTAAAACTAGTAGCATTTGAATTAACGTGGGTTTACTGTTTATCCACATTTTCTAGGACACCAAGGAAGCCAGCACAGGCTTTGGTATTAGAGCAGGATTCCAGGCATCTCTTGTTAAGAATGAAATTGGTAAAAATCTTTTTAAGAGCGTGATATGGCAATATCTGTTAACATTATCATGTGCATGCCTATGGCAGATAAAACACTCACATAAAACAATTATAATAAAAAATGTTTCATTACACATCGTTTTTAGTAGTAAAAAAAAAACAAACTAAACAACCCAAATGTCCAAGTAGGTACAGACTGAAACAGTGTCTGAGATACAGTATTAAGCGGGGAGAGGGGGAGCGTTGTGTAAAATGTAACCCCTTTTTTGTAATAAATAAACAAGAATGTTAGTAGATGCATGCTTGTTTGCAGCCCGGGGGAAAGATCCGGAAGAATACACACTGAAGCATTAACCTAGTGGGGTGAGATTTCAAGCCATTTTTCATCTCAGTGGGATATATTTCTGTTTGGTTGGGTTATGGAAAGGATGCAGGCAAGCCCCACGAGGGTAGAGCCCTACTGTGGTACCATGATAACCCCAGAACCTAGAATGGGGCCAGGCATAGAACATGGTGAATGCATATTATTTATTTATTTATTTATTTTGTGGTACGCGGGCCTCTCACTGTTGTGGCCTCTCCCACTGCGGAGCACAGGCTCCAGACGTGCAGGCTCAACGGCCATGGCTCATGGGCCCAGCTGCTCCGCGGCACGTGGGATGTTCCCGGACCGGGGCACGAACCCTTGTCCCCTGCATCGGCAGGCGGACTCTCAACCACCGCACCACCAGGGAAGCCCGCGTATTATTTTTTTTAATAAAAAATACAGAAATGTTAAAACACAGAAAGTGAAGTGCCCTGATGTGATTCTGGTTTCCTGATGCACTTTTCCCAGGAGGGCAAATCTGTGTCACAGGGATCCCAAGGCGGCTTCCAGCCTCACCTCCACGTCTCTCGTGTCTGGCGTAAACAAGGCGGGGCTTGCTCTCTTCTCCATATCCTGCAGCTTGATCAGCTTTTCTATCAGGAACATTTTGTCCTTGCCCTCCTGCCAAGAAGGAAAACAAAAACAAAAACATGGAGGATGAATGATGGTGTGGGGCTGGGAAGTAAATGATGGAAAGGTTGATTTTTAGGCAGGTAGGGTCCTGGACATTGGCTTCGCCACCAGGGAAGCCCAGTTTCCTTAATTTTCCTTAATTTTAAAATAGAGGTTAAAGAAATAAATGTGCTCGGGACTTCCCTGGTGGCGCAGTGGTTAAGAATCTGCCTGCCAATGCAGGGACACGGGTTCAAGCCCTGGTCCGGGAAGATTCCACATGCCGCGTAGCCACTAAGCCCGTGCGCCACAACTACTGAAGCCTGCGCGCCTACAGCCCTTGCTCCCCAGCAAGAGAAGCCACCACAATGAGAAGCCCGTGCGCAATGAAGAGTGGCCCCCGCTCGCCGCAATTAGAGAAAAACCCACTCGCAGCAATGAGGACCCAACGCAGCCAAAAATAAATAAATTAAATAAATTAAAACTTGCTAAAAAACAAGAAAAAAGAAATAAATGTGCTAAACACCACCGCAGGGTTACAAATCAGATATATCCAGAATGTGGGAACGACTACAAGACAAAAGACCTGGTTTCTCCAACAATAAATGGCAAGAGAAGCAGGAAGTGTGAACAGCTACAGATTGAAAGAAATGTAAACAACACATCAACCAAATGCAACATGTGACACTTTTTCAGATTTTGACTTGAGTAATCCTGCCGTAAAAAGGCAATGCGGGCTTCCCTTGGTGGCGCAGTGGTTGAGTCCGCCTGCCGATGCAGGGGACACGGGTTCATGCCCCGGTCCGGGAAGATCCCACATGCCGCGGAACGGCTGGGCCGGTGAGCCATGGCCGCTGAGCCTGCGCGTCCGGAACCTGTGCTCCGCAATGGGAGAGGCCACAGCGGTGAGAGGCCCGCGTACCGCAAAAAAAAAAAAAAAAAAAAAAAAGACACTTAATGGGACAGTTGGGGAAATTTGACCATTGACTGACTATAAGATGATAGTAAGGAACTAAATTTTCTTTTACGTGTGATGATTGGTACCGTGGTTATGTTTTTTAAAAGGGTGTATCTCTCAGGCATATAGAAGAGTCTACAGATAAAATGATATAAAGGCTAGGATTTTGCTTGAAAATAATCGAGATTTACAGCAAAGAGATAGTGTAGAGGACATAAGAGTATGCAAAGGTTAATGGTTGTCAGGGCTAGGTGGTGGGAAGGTTCATTGTACTATTCTCTATTTTGGACTGTGTTTGAAAATTTCCATTACAAAATGTTAAAAAGGAGGGGAGAATAACAAAGGGATCCAATGGGACTTACGTTAATGATCTGTTCATGGAGCAGTCTGATCATAATCTTCCTTCCCTCTGTGATCTGCCAGTAAAGGTAA